CACAGAGACCCATAGACTCACACAGAGACCCATAGACTCACACAGAGACCCATAGACTCACACAGAGACCCATAGACTCACACAGAGACCCATAGACTCACACAGAGACCCATAGACTTATATAGAGACCCATAGACTCACATAGAGACCCATAGACTCACATAGAGACCCATAGACTCACATAGAGACCCATAGACTCACACAGAGACCCATAGACTCACACAGAGACCCATAGACTCACATAGAGACCCATAGACTCACACAGAGACCCATAGACTCACACAGAGACCCATAGACTCACACAGAGACCCATAGACTCACATAGAGACCCATAGACTCACATAGAGACCCATATACTCATAAAGAGACTCGTAGACTCACAGATAGATCCATGGACTCAAATAGAGACTCATAGACTCAAATAGAAACCATAGACTCACATAGAGACCCACAGACTTATTTGAAGACCCATAGACTCACATAGAGACCCATAGAATTATTTGAAGACCCATAAACTCACATAAAGACCCATAGACTCACATAGAGACCCATAGACTTTGCATAAAGACCCAGACTCACGAATCGTTGCGGGGTTAACGGCCTGTTGGGGGCTACACGGGCCAATTTTCGTCCGTGAGAAACACGCAGCACCGCCCAGATGGATCCGTCCGGAACGACTCGTGTGCGTGCAGGGTGGGTCACAACCGCGCGTTTAACGCTGTGATGATATTTTCCTAAAATTAATGACGACCCATTAAATATGCATGCGTCTCGCACGACGATTGCGATGTTTTGCGTCTCTCCACCCCCCCCCCCGACTCCCACAACAGATCTGGGATGGGGATCCACTGCCCCCCACAATCTCGTCGCTCTCGCTGAATATTCTCATCGGGAAATAAAATATCGGAGACGCTGGTGGGGGTGGCGGTGTCGTTGCGTGTGGTTCTGTGTTTAATCTCTCTCTCAAATGTAGCATTCTCAGGAAGAACGTAATCAACCAGGTAGGGTGTTGACTGTTTTGTTATCCGACTCTCTGTTGTACTACATTACATTTCTAAGCATACTAGAGTTGTGTTTCTATTTCATTTATACCTGAAGATGATTGCTTGTGTTGCAATCGAAACGTCGTATAGCTAGTATTTAATTTAATTTCATTATTTTATCTTCATACGTGACTTTACCGAAAGAACCAAAGAATAATTCCTGCAGTCACGAAAGCTCCAAGTTAAGTGTGTGTGGAGTGGTGTTTGCTGGTGACTTTGTGTGATTCGTATCGGAATCGCCTCCAGTGCTGTTGCTGCTGGCGGCAGTGAAAGTTTTTTAAAAGTCAAAGTCTCTCTGTCTCTGCCTCTCTCTCTGGCTACATAGGCGCATGTCTAGGGACCCCATCCCCCCCATCCCCCCTCTTTCTCTCTCTCCCTAATCTCTCCACATTACAGGATCTCTCCAAATCCCAATGCGACCTTTTGCCCCCTATCCTCTCTCTCCCCCCCCCCCAGCTCTCACTCACTCAGCTCTCTCTTCAGAAAGACATCTACGTTCTCTCTCTCTGTCTCTCTCATCTCCTTTCTGTATTGCATTCACACATTTCTCTACGTTAACATTACGCAATTAACATTTGGACATATTTCAACGAAAACATTTTTTCACGTTTTAATGATCTTCTTCTAAAATCACAAACTATCACTCCAGGTTCTAGATCTCATCTCTATATCATCTCTCTCCCTCATCTCATCTCTCTCATCTCTCTCATCTCGTTCCCTCATCTCATCTCATCTCTCTCATCTCATCTCTCATCTCTCTCATCTCTCATCTCTCCCATCTCTCATCTCTCTCATCTCTCATCTCATCTCTCATCTCTCATCTTTCATCTCTCTCCCTCATCTCATCTCTCTCATCTCATCTCTCTCATCTCTCATTTCTCTCATTTCTCTCATCTCTCTCATCTCTCTCCCTCATCTCATCTCTCTCATCTGTCTCATCTCTCTCCCTCATCTCATCTCTGTCATCTCTCTGTTTTTTACGATCAGTGGAAACAAGAAGATACTCGGTGTAGTCGGCACTTGGCTTCGTTCATCATTTCGTTGTTTTCTCTCTCATCTCTCTCTCATCTCTCCCGTCGCTATCTCTCTCATCTCTCTCATCATAGCGGCACGGATGAGATGTACATAATACCTGTAGCAAGGATGACTTCTGTGTATCTCTCCCTTGCATAGATGCACCTCCCTCGCTCTCTCTTGCTCACTCTCTCGCTCACTCTCTCGCTCACTCTCTCGCTCACTCTCTCACTCACTCTCTCTCGCTCACTCTCTCACTCACTCTCTCGCTCTCACTCACTTTCTCGCTCACTCTCTCGCTCACTCTCTCGCTCACTCACTCTCTCTCGCTCACTCTCTCGCTCACTCTCTCGCTCACTCTCTCGGTCACTCGCTCAATTTCTCGCTCACTCTCTCGCTCACTCTCTCGCTCACTCTCTCGCTCACTCTCTCGCTCACTCTCT